AAGCGGCCTTCCTTTTATTTTTTCCACATTCGATGAAGCATGACCACATATCCATTTTTTCAGGTATAGAGTAGAACATTGTAGTATTTATATTTAACAGAAAAGTAATATATTTAAAAAAGTAACTCTGTGAGATGTTAACTCAACGGAGAACAGATAAAATGTAAAAAACCAATAGTACTATAAATGTATGAGATAGATAGGTACCTTTATCTTAGGTATTGGGAAACAAAACTATGTGCTCAATCTTATGATGGAGCTGCATCAATGCAGGGACAATATTCTAGTGTTCGATCATATGTCCAAGAAAAAAATCCAAATGCTATTTACGTTTGGTGTTTTGCACATGTGCTGAACTTGGTTGTTGTCGATACATGTGATAAATGTTCAAGTGTTAGAAATTTCTTTGGAGAAGTTCAAAGTTTGATTACATATATGAGAGCAAGAAAATGAACAGCCTTATTCTTAGAGCAACAAACTAAATGCTATCCTTCAGAAACACCATGTGGAATAAAGAACTTCTCTACCACTCGTTGGACTTCGCATGGCCGTGCATTATCAGTAATAAATAAAAAGTACTTGGCATTTATAAAGACCTTGGAAGAGTTAATTAACTCAACAGATAGAGAAACCTCTTCAACTGCTTCAAATCTTTACAGAATAATGACTTCATTCAAGTTTATTTTGAATTTATTTTTAATGGAAAATATATTTTCTCATACTACTCCATTATCAATTTATTTGCAATCTTCATCTATTGATTTCATTCAAGCAATCACTATGGTAGATGTTTGTGCTAAAAAATTATTTGATTTAAGAAATGAACAGAGTTTTAATGATTTAATTACAAAAACAAAATCATTTGTTAATGAAATTGGATTAGTTGAATGTGATTTGCCAAATATACGTAGCCGCCGTAGGAAGCTGTTGCCTGGAGAAGTTGTTTCTGATGAAGTAATGACAAATTCTTATGACCAATTTAAAATTGAAGTTTTTTATGTAGTATGGGATCAAGTAAACACTTCTATTATAAGTAGATTTGAAGGTGCTCGAGGTATATTGTCTAACTTGTCATTATTAACTTTTGATCGATTAAAGTCAACTAGCGAGGGAACAGAAATTTCCGACGATCATTTCATTGCGTTAAAAAATTGGATTCCTAGTCTAAGTCTTGATAATTTGAAAATGGAATATTCTATATTTGCAAGTAGTTTTATAAAATTGTATAATGGTATGGATTTATCCAGTATTCGCACAAATAATGAACTTATCATCGAAAGTGAAAATGAAAATACCCCTGATTCTGACTCTCCAGATGAAATGGATGATGAAGAAGTAATTAGAAAAAAATTATCAGCAACCGAGATACTTAAAATGCTTTGTTCTTATAATTTAGTTGCAGCATTCCCAAACCTTTTTTTATTATATAAATATTTATGCACTATTCCTACAACATCTGCTGCAAGTGAGAGATCGTTCTCGAAGGTAAAAATAATTAAAACTCGACTTAGATCCACCATGAGTCAAAATAGACTTGAAAGTCTCATGTTATTGTCATGTGTAAAGGATATAGTTTTAAATCCAGAAGAAATTGTGAACAAATATGCTTTTACCTCTTCAGTTCTACTAAAAGAATTATTGTTTAAATAATAATACCAAGTAGGTATTATATTATAATTATGTAAACTATCATTTGTTTTCAATTAGTTGTTATTTATGTATTATGTTTTCAATTAATTTTTATTTATGTATTGTGTTTAAAGTATACATACCTACTTAAAWTTTATAAATTAAACRCTTATATTTATGATTTTTTTCTACACAAGATATGTTAAAAAAGCTTCTGTTAAAAAAATGTTATAAATTATATTTAATTAAAATGTTTACTATTTTCTTTATAGTATAAATTATATTATACTGTATACTTAATTCTATAAATTAAAAATTTAATTATTATTTTATTTTTTTTATTTCGTGAAACATTCTGATGTCCAAGTAT